CGTCACTGAATAAAAGTAGTTTCACATCTGAGACTCTGATCTGAACTTTAGAGTCCCGGGAGTTTCAGATCTAAACTCCAGTCCAGACATTTAGAGTTGATCTGGACAGAAGATAAAGCGCGGGTGCAGTTCCTCACCTGCCCTGTAGGGGTCGTGTCTGGTGTCCTGCCAGTCCACCTCGTCCTCGGAGCTGTCGCTGTCCTCGTACGGATGAACCATGCGGAAGTTCTCAAAGGAAATGGACACTGAGAAAGACAAAGACGAGAGGGTCAGAGGAGGAGGAGGGGAGGAGGAGAGGAGAGAGAGAGGAGAAGAGGAGGAGAGGAGGAGGAGAAGAGGAGGAGAGGAGGAGGAGAGAGGAGGAGAGGAGGAGGAGAAGAGGAGGAGAGGAGGAGGAGGAGAGGAGAGGAGGAGAGAGGAGGAGAGGAGAAGAGGAGAGGAGGAGAGAGGAGAGAGGAGGAGAGGAGGAGAGAGGAGAGGAGGAGGAGAGGAGGAGAGAGGAGGAGAGGAGGAGAAGAGAGGAGAGAGGAGGAGGAGAGGAGGAGAGGAGGAAAGGAAAGGAGGAGAGGAGGAGAAGAGGAGAGGAGAGGAGGAGAGAGGAGGAGAAGAGGAGGAGAGAGGAGGAGAGGAGGAGGAGAGGAGGAGGAGGAGAGGAGGAGAGGGAGAGGAGAAGAGAGGAGAGGAGGAGAGGAGGAGGAGAGAGAGAGAAGGAGGAGGAGAAGAGGAGGAAGAGGAGAAGGAGGAGGAGGAGGAGGAGAGGAGGAGGAGAGGAGGAGAAGAGAGGAGAAGAGGAGGAGAGGAGGAGAGAGGAGGAGGAGGAGGAGGAGGAGGTCAGACGAGGAGCAGGAGGAGGTCAGAGGTCAGAGGTCAGAGGTCAGAGGATGCACCTTTGCTGTCCCCGTTGAACTTCTTCTCTTCTCTCTTGAGCTGCTCGTCAAACTCTCGGTCAAACTGCATCTGAAGCATCTGAGCCAACATCAGGTCCGAGTCTGTGTCCGGGACGTCCTCCAGGGGGAACTCCAGCACCGGGCTGAACACACGGAACACACGACGGAACACACGAGAAACACACGGGGAACACACGGGAACACACGGAGAACACACACGGAGAACACACGGAGAACACACGGAGAACACACGAGGAACACACGAGGAACACACGAGGAACACACGGAGAACACACGAGGAACACACGGGGAACACACGGAGAACACACGGGGAACACACGGGGAACACACGGGAACACACGGGAACACACGAGGAACACACGAGGAACACACGGAGGAAACACACGACACACGGAACACACGAGGACACACGAGGAACACACGACACACGGAGGAACACACGAGGAACACACGGAGGAACACACGGGGAACACACGAGGAACACACGGAGAACACACGGGGAACACACGGGGAACACACGAGGAACACACGAGGAACACACGGAGGAACACACGGACACACGGAGAACACACGAGGAACACACGGAGAACACACGAGGAACACACGGGGAACACACGGAACACACGGAGAACACACGGAACACACGGAGAACACACGGGGAACACACGGAGAACACACGAGGAACACACGGGAACACACGAACACACGGGGAACACACGGGGAACACACGGAACACACGAAACACACGGAGAACACACGGAGAACACACGAGAGGAACACACGGAACACACGAACACACGGAGAACACACGGGGAACACACGGAACACACGGAGACACACGGAACACACGGGGAACACACACGGGAACACACGGGGAACACACGGGAACACACAGGAGAACACACGGGGAACACACGGAGAACACACGGGAAACACACGGGGAAACACACGGAGGAACACACGGAGAAACACACGGAGAACACACGGGAAGGAACACACGAAGGAAACACACACACGGAGAACACACGGAGAACACACGGAGAACACACGGGGAACACACGAGAACACACGGAGAACACACGGGGAACACACGGGGAACACACGGAAACACACACGGGAACACACGAGGAACACACGAGGAGGAACACACGGGAACACACGAACACACGAGGAACACACGAGGAACACACGAGGGAACACACGAACACACGGGGAACACACGGAGAACACACGGAGAACACACGGGAGAACACACACACGGAGAAACACACGGGAACACACGGAGAACACACGAGGAACACACGGAGAACACACGGAGAACACACGGGAACACACGGGGAACACACGGGAACACACGGGGAACACACGAGGAACACACGGGGAACACACGGGGAACACACGGGAACACACGGAACACACCGGAACACACGGGAACACACGAGGAACACACGAGGGGAACACACGGAGAACACACGGGAGAACACACGGGGAACACACGGGGAACACACGGGAACACACGGGGAACACACGGGAACACACGGAACACACGGAGAACACACGGAACACACGGAACACACGGAACACACGGAGAACACACGGGGAACACACGGAGGAACACACGGGAACACACGGAACACACGGAGAACACACGGAGAACACACGGAGAACACACGGGGAACACACGGAGAACACACGGGAACACACGGAGAACACACGGAGAACACACGGAGGGAACACACGGGGAACACACGGAGAACACACACACGGGGAAACACGGAGAACACACGAGGGAACACACGGGGAACACACGGAACACACGGAGGAACACACGGAACACACGAAACACACGAGGGAACACACGGAGAACACACGGAGAACACACGGGGAACACACGGGGAACACACACACACGGGAACACACGAGAACACACGGAGAACACACGGGGAACACACGGAGAACACACGGAGAACACACGGAGAACACACGGAGGAACACACGGAACACACGGAGAACACACGGAGAACACACGGGAACACACGAACACACGGAAACACACGGGAACACACGGGAACACACGGAGAACACACGGAACACACGGAGAACACACGGGAACACACGGGGAACACACGGAGAACACACGGAACACACGGGAACACACACACACGGAGAACACACGGAGAACACACGGGGAACACACGGGGAACACACGGGGAACACACGGAACACACGGAACACACGGAGAACACACGGGGAACACACGGAGAACACACGGAGAACACACGGAGAACACACGGGGAACACACGGGGAACACACGGGGAACACACGAGGAACACACGGGGAACACACGAGGAACACACGGGGAACACACGGAGAACACACGGGGAACACACGGGGAACACACGGGGAACACACGGAACACACGGGAACACACGGGGAACACAGGAACAGGTCAGAAGAGTTTACAGAAGCAGCAGCTGATTTATTTACTAGAATTGAATCTGAAACAAGTGGAGACGCAGCTCAGAACAGGAGAAGAACCTGGAGCTTCTCCTCAACAGAACCAGAACATTATTCAAGAAACTACTTCTGTTTTTAGAGGAAAATCACATTTAAAGTGACATTAAAACCTAAACCTTCAGTATTTGAACTAAAGCCACAGTCGCCAAGTTCAAACAAGAACTTTAATTCTGAATAAAAATAATTTCATTTAAGTCGCAGGTTTTCATGGAAATACAAAATTAAAGCCAATACTTTCATTACATTCAGAGATTTTTTTTATGCCATACTGTGGAACATTACAGCCAAAGGCCCAACTCCAGGACAAATAAAGAGTCAGGTCTGTGGAGAGGCGAGGACACAGTTCCAGTTCAACTTTAGTGACGACAGTAGTTTAGACTCTTTAGACCAGGAGTGTCAAACTCATTTTGTTCCAGGGGCCGAATCCAACCACATTTTTCTGATGAGGGTCACGGTCAACAGTCAAAACCATCGTCCTTTAAGACGTTTGGAAAGAGACAAGTCTTCATTTGTGCTGCTCTGGTGGGAGGGGCCACGTACAGAGACGCTGGAGAAAATCAGCCGAGGGCCAGATTAAAGGTGTTGGAGGGCTGGATCTGGCCCCCGGGCCGTATGTTTGACACCCCTGATTTAGAACAATATAATTTCATTTAAAGCACAGGTGTCAATCATACGGCCCAGGGGCCAGATCCGGCCCTCCAAGACCTTTAATCTGGCCCTCGGCTGATTTTCTACTCAAATATTTTAATGATATTTTCTATTAAAATGTTGTTAATTTTCTGTGGTGTTTATCACAGCAGCGTCTCCAGCGTCTCTGTACGTGGCCCCTCCCACCAGAGCAGCACAAATGAAGACTTGTCTCTTTCCAAACGCTCTTAAAGGACGATCGTTTTGACTGTTGACCGTGACACCCTCATCAGAAAAATGTCCAACAGGAGAAAAGTGGAGCCGAGTGCAGGATTTTACAACAAAAATGGACTTATTCCCATTTCTACAAGTTAATTTTAAACAAGTTTATGTTAAAACTTTGTGTTGAAATTGTATTTTTCTTAAAGTTTCAGGTTGTTCATAATATTATAATATTTTGTAAAAGAAAGAGTTCATCAATTAGAGATTTCTGAAATAGATTTGTGTTTCTCTGCACAAATATTTGAACTTATTGTTCTTTTTGGGGTTTATATGACATGAGTTTTCTGATCCGGACACTTTGAGATCAAAGTCGGTTGAACACGACCCCTGGACCAAAAGGAGTTTGACTCTCCTGGTTTAAAGTCGTGTTAAATCTTGAGAGAAAAGGTGGGTGATATTTACTCGGAGGCGTCGGTGAAGAGTGCGTTCTCCTCATCCAGCTGTTTGGCCAACTGTTCACTCATCACCTCAGAGAGAGAACAGGCAGGGGGCGCTACAGCCACACAACCCCACGGGCTCTAAACACACACACAAACACACAAACAGAAACACACAAACAGATTAAACATTTTTCATTCATTTTACACATTTATCAAGACCTTCAGCGTCTCGTGCACTTGAGCTCAGCGTGTTCTTTAAGCTGTTGTCAAAACTTCAGAAGGAGGATTTTGTTTTGTCACCATCAGCTCCACAAATGCGTCATATTAATCTTCTGGTTCAAAGTCCCTTCGACTGACAACAGCAGTGACGTCACTGGGGTTGAGTAACGGCTCTGTTAGAGAATTTTATGATATAAATGTTAAAGTTAAAGTGTTACTCATTTATATATGTAATTCTTTCATTAAAGTATGAATCGTTTAAAGGGTGAGTCATTTAAATATTAATCATGGTGTAATAAACATTGCTTTGGGTCTGTTTTGGTTCAGGAGGTACGTGACATGAAACCAGCAGCAGATATGAATGACATGTCAACTGACATATTAAGCTCATCTACTATTGGCACCAACAACTAGGGTTTGTCCCATCGTTGACTTGGAGAGTTGTGGAGCAGAGTCGGTCAGGGAGCTGACAGACAGTGTTTATAACTCTCCTTCCGTGCAAGTATTAATTTCAACCGTCTCTTTCTGGTGTGTCTTTATTTAATGTATTTTTGATGTCTTTTGGGTAGAATTCCCTGACAGGCTCCACTTGTGAAGCTGCTGTGACTTTAGTTTGTTTCTCGTGACAGAAAAAGTTCGACTTGTTTGTGTTTCATGTGAAAAGGCCCAAGAATGACAGAGATCTGAACTATAAACCTGCTCGTACACGTGTGTCTGACACTTACACAAACTCTGAGCTGAGACTCTGCTCCTCCAGATCCTGAACGTTTAAAATGAGACACAGGTTTTTATCTAGTTTATGTTTTAGGTCGTTTTACACAAACAAAGAAACAATTTATGAAGAAAAGAAGAGAACTCAGATGACGTCACACTGGGAGAATTCTGTCCAAATTTTGGCTCAATTTACACAAAATAACTAATTTTTCCAACACTTTGAACACAATTTCAAGAAAATAAATGAGTTTTCTTATATTTTTCTTTGTCAGATAATAATCCCTGTGGCGTTAGAGGAGTTTGGGCTCAGTGTACACGTTACGGTTGCTACGGTAACTAGGCCTGTGCAAAAATATCAAAATATCGACATATCGTATCGTTAAATGTGATGATTCAGTCTGGATATCGTGTTCTGCTGTATCGATATATCGCCAAGAGGATTTTTTGGTTTATTTTACTCAGTGATTTAGTTCCAGTTCCAGTTTTGTTGTTTGTTCAGAGGAAGGAAACTGGTTTATGCGACACATTTGACTTTTTTTGTGTGTTTTTGAGGATTAAAATTGGTGTTTTTCAGATGAACTTTGCACAAGAAATGGTTTAACAAAGACTTTTAGTATCACAGCCATGATTTAGACTTTATTTTTTATTGAACCTTATCAAATCAATTTGAAAAATGTCGTATTGATTCAAAAGTGGATTGTATCGAGGTTTGTATCGTATCGGCAACTTCTGAATGATCCCAGCCCAAACAGGAACAATGATGGAATTCCCCAGTGTGACGTCAAGATTTCCAACAAAAAAGTAAAAAAAAAAAGTTTACATTTTTAGTACAGTCTTAAATATGACAATCTTAAGAGAGTTTTAGTCACATGAAAAGTCCAGCAGGTCTGAGGCTCAGCAAATTAAACCTGTGACAGAAGGTCGTGCATTTTTCTCACACAGATTGTTTCGTTTGGATCAGGAAGCAAAAGCAGCTCCTCACCCTCGTCCACGTGACTCACCAAGAGATTTATGAATTATACATATTGTGTTGAATAAGTAAAAATTAATTAAATAAAAGCCTTTACTCTTGTACATGTATCATTCTGATGCCCAACTGTGTGCTAATATTTGGATAATGGTTGATGTTTTACAGGCGTTTAACTTCGAGAGATCAGAATTTCAAAATAAAAAACTGGGACACTGTCGGTTTGTGGAGGTCGGTGATAATAAAACAGTGAATCGAGTCGGGGTGAGCACTGCCTTGAGTCTGACGATACGATACATATCACGACTCACATGTCACGATTCAATATATCACGATCTATCTCGATACAAAAAACAATGGATGATATATTGTGCAATTTTTCAATATTTACTTCTAATAATAGAGTCAACTGCACCTTCAGAAGAACACAACTGTATAAAGATCATTTAGAAATGTTATAAAATCATGAAAACAGTGAATGTAACTAATGAATTTTTGTGAAAAATATTATTTTAAATAATCGATTCAGATCCATTTTGAATTGATTCAAGAATTGTGTAATGAAGTATCACGATATATCACTGAATCATTTTTTTAGAATCGAGTGCACAATTCGTCACATTTTCTTTGGGTTTTGGTCGTTTTTAAGCAGCTTTTCTGTATTTTACGTAAACAAATGTGAGTTTATGTCTCGCTTTACTGTTGCAGGATCAGATTGGTTAAAAACTGAGACACTGGGACATTTCTTGGTCTCAGGTGAACAGATTTTTGTAAAGCGGGACACACTCGGGTTTGGATGTTTGTTGAAAACAAAAGAGTAAAAAGAGCGTGGAAAACTTTGCATTCTCCTGTCAGTCACGATCTGAGGAACTTCTGACGCTGCTTTTTTTTTTTCTGCTTTATGGTAATTTGCAAACACTGTTTTTCTGTATTTTGGCAAAACAAATGACAAATTTATGCTTCTGTTTATTGTTGAGAAGGATCAGATTAGTCAAAAATTGTGATAGCCCTGGTTTAGTCCCGATTGGTCAAAAATAGAGACATTTCTTGGGACAAATCAGTGGTTTTGTTTAAATCTGCGGGGACAGGGGGACACAGGCTCAAAACTGGGACTGTTCCAGAGACACAGGGACGTCTGGACACTCTAATCTAACTGTAACTGACACTCTGTTATAAACTAAATTATTGCTAAAACCAGCAGCTCTGAGGCTTTTCTGTTTGTGAAGGAGCTCGGCGGAGGAAAGAGGCTGGAGACTCCTGGTTTAAAATATTATCAGTATTTTTCAAAATGAATAAATGGCTGAAAATATAATGATTTTTGTCTCTGTGTTCCAGACAAGTCCAGACACGTCCCTGATGACCAGTCCCTGCTCCTCTGACGTGAGCAGACCTCAGCTCCTCATCACCTCACGATAAACTACAATAAACACCGAGCAAACACGAGAAACGAGCTGTAAAAGACCTGTTCTGAACACAGACTGTGTGAAAGACTATAAATGACACGGTGTGTGGTTCTGACTCACGTGTCACGACTCTGAAAGAAATGAGATTCAATAAAATAATAATAATGAGGCGAGACAAAAGAGAAGAACTTTTAAAGAGACTAAACCTGTAAACAAACGTGTTAAACAAGTTCAGTGTTTGGATTAAAAGACACTGTCAGGCCTCATTAAACACTAGAGTTTGAGTTAAAATCATGTCCATGATTAAAAACGTTGAGTTTAGAGAGAAAAGAACAGAAGTGACAGTTTATGTTTGTTTAGCTGCGCTGAGGCCGAAGCTAACGAAGCTAACGAGGCTAATGGACTAAACCAGGTCTAAACCAGGTCTAAACCAGGACTAAACCAGGACTAAACCAGGACTAAACCAGGTCTAAACCAGGACTAAACCAGGACTAAACCAGGACTAAACCAGGTAAAACCAGGTCAAAACCAGGTCTAAACCAGGTCTAAACCAGGTCTAAACCAGGACTAAACCAGGTCTAAACCAGGACTAAACCAGGACTAAACCAGGACTAAACCAGGACTAAACCAGGACTAAACCAGGTCAAAACCAGGTCTAAACCAGGACTAAACCAGGTCTAAACCAGGTCTAAACCAGGTCTAAACCAGGTCTAAACCAGGACTAAACCAGGACTAAACCAGGACTAAAACCAGGACTAAACCAGGACTAAACCAGGACTAAACCAGGACTAAACCAGGTCTTTAGCTGCGCTGAGGCCGAAGCTAACGAGGCTAATGCTCCTTTAAACTTCACTTTAAATCCTCAGCAGTAAATGTCCGTGTGTCTGTGTCCGTGTGTCTGTGTCCGTGTGTCCGTGTGTCTGTGTCCGTGTCCGTGTGTTTGTGTCCGTGTGTCTGTGTCCGTGTGTCTGTGTCCGTGTGTCTGTGTCCGTGTGTCTGTGTCTGTGTCCGTGTGTCTGTGTGTGTCCGTGTGTCTCTTTGTGTCCGTGTCTTTGTGTCCGTGTCGGATGTAAATGTCCGGGGGCAGGACTCACCTTCGGCGCGGTGACTGAAGTTTGATCCATGATTTTATTGATTTTATTCGTGTTTTTTTCCGCGTTTGTTGAAAAGTGAAGCGGCGGTTTTAGCCTCGGAGCTAAAGTGCAGCGTGTGGCGAAGGCAGAGGAACGCGACGCAAAACGTCACTTTTAAACGTAAAACAGAGGCTTTTGTTTGTGACACGCACAGGACGCGTTAGTTTAAAGTCCGGACTCCGCGGTGTAAACGTCACGACTCGAGGTAAAAGTGTTTAAAGTGAATTTAAAACGTTTGAACGAGGCAGAAGAACGAGAACGTGAGTCCAGCGTCAGTGACACGCCCCCGGGGAAAACGGAACTGCGTCATCATTGCGTCATCACTTAGCCCCGCCCACCTCTGTAATCTAGATTTATTTGTTTATTTTTAAATAAATGATTAATGTGAAAAAAAACTAAGAAAAAAAAAACATAAACAAACAAACAAATAAAAAAAAAATCTAATTAACAAACTTAGAAGTGACATCAACACTCAATAATATTTATAAAGAAGAGTTTGACAGACCAGAAATCTTCATGTATTAATTTAATTTAATTTTTTTCTTTTGTATTCAAATCCTTGTCTGTTTTACAGTATTAGTAAGTCTTTATTTATATCGTGCTTTCCCAGACATTTTCTGTCCCCAAAGACACTTTACAGAACATTATTCATTCACTCTGCACCTGCTGATGTAAACTACTGTTGTAGCCACAGCTGCCCTGGGGCAGACTGACAGAAGCACGGCTGCCATGCCACTCAGCGCCATCAGTCCCTCCGACCACCACCATCACACACACACACGCACACACACACACACACACACACACACACACGCACGCACGCACGCACACACGCACACACACACACACACACACGCACACACACACACACACACACACACACACACACACACACACACACACACACACACACGCACACACACACACACACCACTTTCATACGAGGCAATGTGTGTGAAGTGTCTTGCCTAAGGACACAATGATTGAATTGATTGTGTTTAACTGACCTCGACTATCAACTATTTATGGACCTGGAGCATGTTTTGGGTATTATACTATTACATGTTTTATATATATATATATATATATATATATATATATATATATATATATATATATATATATATATATATATATATATAATAGTCTTGATTTAGTCGTGAGTCCTAAACATGTAAATTAATGCCATATTCATTTTGTAGATGAAGGTTCTTTAACTTGCAGTAGTTGGAGATAAGATTAATCACAATGACCTTTAGCTTCTGCCCACACCTGCTCAATGACTCAGTGTTTGATTTGATTGTTCTACTATGTTTTATTTTATGGACATTGGACTGAACAGAATGTGAACTGTACACAGAACAAATGAACAAGAACATGAGAAAATCAGAGTCGCACCATCAGTATCAACTTTTAAATCACTTCTTAACACTTATTTTTATCAGTTGGCTTTTTTAAAACTGGTTTTAGCTTGAGTTTATTCCTGATTTATATTTTATTCTATTTCTTTTTATTTATTTATTTATTGTTAATAGTTTTATTAATTTCTTAATTGTTTACATTCTTGTCTGTTTTTGTGTTTTCTCTGTGCTATTTTTATACTTTTTGTGTTGTTCTTTGCTGCTTTTAAAACCTTGTTTTTAAATGTACTTTATAAATAAAGACTTATAATAATTATTATTATTACATGAACATGATTTAGTCCTGGTTTAGTCCTGGTTTGATCCCGGGGGGGGGTCGTGCACCAGCTGCTGCTGCTGCTTCTTAAACCTCAGAACAAAAACACACAAACCGGAAACAGATGTCTGTCATTACGAATTCACCAGGCCGTATTTTATTTGATCTACGAAACGCTGTGTTCCACCCGTGATGTCACGAAGTGGAGGTTTTTAAATGAACAGCTCAGTGTAAAATGTGCAGCGTTTGTGTGTTAAACAAATAAAACACAACAGCCGAGCACAGAGCACAAAATAACGTCGTATTTATTTGTCGTAGGTCCTTTAAACGCGGTTCACTATTAGCACTGTCGTCGTGGTTTTCGATATTTCTTCGGTGTAGACAACAGATTATTATTATTTCTTTTTTTTAAATTTTATTTTAGTAGGCATTTTTATTAATAAGTAACTTCGAATATACAAGACACACGTTGGGCAACAACAAAAATAGATAACGTTCTAATGTCACTGACAGCGTGAAGTAAATAAATAAATAAACACAAACATACATTTTCATATTGCAGGGGTTATCTGAGTTCATGTGTAATTAAGCAAATACACAGTGAAGACACATAAATGCGGTCATTGTCCATCAGGGGAGAGTCTTTGTCCTTAAAAGTGTTACAGTTTATTGTCCAGAAGGATCTGGGGTTGTGTAGTCCTCAGTTTATGGAGATTATTTATTTTAAAATATCGGGTTCGTGGATGTTTTTGTTCCGTTTTGCAGTTTTATTTTGTAGGAGGTGACCGGATGTGCGGTGGTGTCTGGGCGGAAGTTGACACGTCCTCCTCAGCATCCTTTCTCCTGAGCATCCTCCGTCCTCCGTCCTCCGTCCTCGGGCCTGTCCTCCCCGCGCCCACACGCCTCCGCTGCGGGCTCACGTCGGGTTTATCTCGGGTTCATCTCGGGATAATCTCGGGTTTATTCGCTGTTTCGGGTCTTCTCCGGGGCCTTTCTCCGATGGCCGGGCCCAGCTGCCTCAGTCCGCCCGGGACCAGAGCGTCAGACGCGGCCGCAGATGCGTCGGTGAGTCTCGCTCTTTTCACCCCCACGTCCCGAAAATAAACACCAATCCTCAAGTTATTTTATTATTTTACTCAAAAATGTAACGGGAAATCGCATCAAAACAATTAAATTTAACCGTACGCAATTTATTATTTGGATCTGCTAGCGTCTGTTTCACCTTATGTGATGCTAAAACCAGGACTAAACCAGAACTAAACCAGGACTAAACCAGGACTAAACCAGGACTAAACCAGGACTAAACCAGGACTAAACCAGGACTAAACCAGGACTAAACCAGGACTAAACCAGGACTAAACCAGGTAAACCAGGACTAAACCAGGACTAAACCAGGACTAAACCAGGACTAAACCAGGTAAACCAGGACTAAACCCAGGACTAAACCAGGAAACCAGGACTAAACCAGGACTAAACCAGGACTAAACCAGAACTAAACCAGGTCTAAACCAGGACTAAACCAGGACTAAACCAGGACTAAACCAGGACTAAACCAGGACTAAACCAGGAACTAAACCAGGTAAACCAGGTCTAAACCAGGACTAAACCAGGACTAAACCAGGGACTAAACCAGGTCTAAACAGGACTAAACCAGGACTAAACCAGGACTAAACCAGGACTAAAAAACCAGGACTAAACCAGGACTAAACCAGGACTAAACCAGGACTAAACCAGGACTAAACCCAGGACTAAACCAGGACTAAACCAGGACTAAACCAGGACTAAACCAGGACTAAACCAGGACTAAACCAGGAAGACTAAACCAGGACTAAAACCAGGACTGAAACCAGGACTGAAACCAGGACTAAACCAGGACTAAACCAGGACTAAACCAGGACTAAACCAGGACTAAACCAGGACTAAACCAGGACTAAACCAGGAAAACCAGGACTAAACCAGGACTAACCAGGACTAAACCAGGACTAAACCAGGTAAACCAGGACTAAAGGACCAGGACTAAACCAGGACTAAACCAGGACTAAACCAGGACTAAACCAGGGACTAACCAGGACTAAACCAGGACTAAACCAGGACTAAACCAGGTACCAGGACTAAACCAGGACTAAACCAGAAACCAGGACTAAACCAGGACTAAACCAGGTCTAAAACCAGGGACTAAACCAGAACTAAACCAGGACTAAACCAGGACTGAAACCAGGACTAAACCAGGACTAAACCAGGACTAAACCAGGAAAACCAGGACTAAACCAGGACTAACCAGGACTAAACCAGGACTAAACCAGGACTAACCAGGACTAAACCAGGACTAAACCAGGACTAAACCAGGTCTAAACCAGGACTAAACCAGAAACTAAACCAGGACTAAACCAGGACTGAACCAGGACTAAACCAGGGACTAAACCAGTCCAGGACTAAACCAGGTCTAAACCAGGACTAAACCAGAACTAAACCAGGACTAAACCAGAACCAGGACTGAAACCAAGACTAATCCAGGACTAAACCAGGACTAAACCAGGACTCTATTTGAACCATTCTAACTGTGTTTTTGTGTCTCTTTTTCCCAGAATGCCTCAGTGCAGCGTCTCTTCCGTGTGTGATTCCCGCCACAAAATCAAAAACAAATCGAATGTACCAAACACTATGTAGAAACGATGCTGGAAACTCTGTAAATCTCCACACACCTGGATGTATCTCAGTGAGCTGAATGTTTATTTCTGACACCGAACTGTAGAAATCGCTGGAACAAACCAATGATTGTTTTTTTTCAAAGTTTTCAGTCGCAGTTAAATTAAAAGATAAAATTTCAAGACGACTTTTGAACTGAAGATTTGGAAGAATTTTGGAGCAGTGTTTTTGCCGTGAAGAAGCCCACGTCTTCGGAGACTTTGGAGATTTCTGGATTGTAATATTTTTGTGTGATTTATTTATTATTTCTTTTATTTCCTGGACACTGGAAGAGTCGATCAAAATGAGTAAACCTCACTCGGGTCTGAGCTCCGAGGCCACGGAAAAGGCACGACTCGAGCTCAACGAGAATCCAGACACCCTGCACCACGACATACAACAGGTGAGCTCCCGTCCAATCAGGAGAGAGACAGGTGAGTTCCCGTCCAATCAGGAGAGAGACAGGTGAGCTCCCGTCCAATCAGGAGAGAGACAGGTGAGTTCCCGTCCAATCAGGAGAGAGACAGGTGAGCTCTCGTCCAATCAGGAGAGAGACAGGTGAGCTCCCGTCCAATCAGGAGAGAGACAGGTGAGCTCCCGTCCAATCAGGAGAGAGACAGGTGAGCCATCGTCCAACCAGGAGAGAGACAGGTGAGCCATAGTCCAATCAGAGAGAGACAGGTGAGCAAGAGAGACAGGTGAGCCATCGTCCAATCAGGAGAGAGACAGGTGAGCCATCGTCCAATAAGGAGAGAGACAGGTGAGCCATCGTCCAATCAGGAGAGAGACAGGTGAGCCATCGTCCAATAAGGAGAGAGACAGGTGAGCTACTGTCCAATAAGGAGAGAGACAGGTGAGCTCCCGTCCAATCAGGAGAGAGACAGGTGAGCCATCGTCCAATCAGGAGAGAGACAGGTGAGCCATCGTCCAATAAGGAGAGAGACAGGTGAGCTACTGTCCAATCAGGAGAGAGACAGGTGAGCTCCCGTCCAATCAGGAGAGAGACAGGTGAGCTACTGTCCAATCAGGAGAGAGACAGGTGAGCTACTGTCCAATCAGGAGAGAGACAGGTGAGCTACTGTCCAATCAGGAGAGAGACAGGTGAGTGTCTCTCCTGATTGGATGGGTAGTAGTAATAGTAGTAGTAGTATTTGTAGCAGTAGTAATAGTAGTAGTAGTAATAGTAATAGTATTTATTTGTCGTACATTTGTTTACAGGTTCGGGACATGATCGTTATGCAATAGTAGTAGTAGTAGTAGTAGTAGTATTTATACTTTTGTGTGCTGGTTCGGGACATGATCGTGACACTGTAGTAGTATCAGTAGTAGTAGTAGTAGTAGTAGTAGTAGTATCAGTAGTAGTAGTAGTAGTAGTAGTAGTAGTAGTAGTAGTAGTAGTAGTAGTAGTAGTAGTAGTATTTATATATTTGTCTCCACAGGTGCGGGACATGATCGTGACACTGTAGTAGTAGTAGTAGTAGTAGTAGTAGTAGTAGTAGTAGTAGTAGTAGTATTTATATATTTGTGTACAGGTGCGGGACATGATCGTGACGCTGTAGTAGTATCAGTAGTAGTAGTAGTAGTAGTAGTAGTAGTAGTAGTAGTATTTATTATATATTTGTGTACAGGTGCGGGACATGATCGTGACACTGTAGTAGTAGTAGTAGTAGTAGTAGTAGTAGTAGTAGTAGTAGTAGTAGTAGTAGTAGTAGTAGTATTTATTTGTCGTATATTTGTGTACAGGTGCGGGACATGATCGTGACACTGTAGTAGTATCAGTAGTAGTAGTAGTAGTAGTAGTAGTAGTAGTAATAGTATTTTTATATATTTGTGTACAGGTGCGGGACATGATCGTGACGCGTCCCGACATCGGTTTCCTCAGAACAGACGATGACTTCATCCTGCGCTTCCTCAGGGCGCGGAAATTCAACCAATCAGAGTCCTTCAGACTGCTGAGTCAGTACTTCCTGTTCCGCCAGCAGCACCTGCACATCTTCCACAGCTTCAAGGTGAGAGTCTGGAGAACAGCGCCCCCTGCTGCCCGCCACAAGAACACACGCCACTAACACTAACAGCACCACGCAAAACGGACGAATGTGAACTTTAAATCATGTTCTAATGTTCCTGGTCACACTCAGAGCTGGAGCTGTGTTATTCTGAGTCTGTTACATCTCCAAACCTCCAAACACTCTGTTCCACCTTGTGATGTCATCAAGTTCTCAGCTCCTTTTCCCTTTAGTTCGGTCGAGATCGATAAAGAAACTCCAGGACTGAAATGATCCAGGTGATTCTAGTGAAGGTGAAGTGTGGAGTTTAAAAACACAGTGGAGCACTTCCTGTATCACCACATGATGACATCACCAGGTGGAACAGAGTGTTTTCAGTTTGAGTTTGTGTGTGAAACAAGTGAATGAAACAAAACACGAGTCCAGCTCCTTGGATCATGAACAGAAGGTTTTAGTCTGAAGTCAAAGTTCTTCTAACGTCAAACAACGACAGAAATCCAAGAAAGAAAAGCAGCGTCTGAACAACAAGTTTGAGTTTATAATTTCACTCATGACTCACTGTAAATATGAGGGACAAAATATCAGTGAAAACAAACTAAATTTAATTCATAATTCGTTCATTCCAGAGCTCGAGATCTTTAAAACATCTTTATTGAAGGTTTCTACAGTGTTTGACTTTAAATCATCAGGTTGTTCCACACAAACTCACCACAAACACAAGAACTTTTTTTTATGAGTTCCACGTCCTCCTGTGTCTCCGTGTGTCTCCCTGTGTCTCTGTGTGTCTCTGTGTGTCTCTGTGTGTCTCCCTGTGTGTCTCTGTGTCTCTGTGTGTCTCTGTGTGTCTGTGTCTCTGTGTCTCTGTGTGTCTCTGTGTGTCTCTGTGTGTCTCTGTGTGTCTCTGTGTGTCTGTGTGTCTCCCTGTGTCTCCCTGTGTCTCTGTGTCTCTGTGTCTCCCTGTGTCTCTGTGTGTCTCTGTGTCTCTGTGTTCTGTGTCTCTGTGTCTCTGTGTCTCCCTGTGTCTCCCTGTGTCTCTGTGTGTCTCTCTGTGTCTCTGTGTGTCTCTGTGTCTCCCTGTGTCTCCCTGTGTCTCTGTGTGTCTCTGTGTGTCTCTGTGTCTCCCTGTGTCTCTGTGTGTCTCTGTGTCTCCCTGTGTCTCCCTGTGTCTCTGTGTGTCTCTGTGTGTCTCCCTGTGTCTCCCTGTGTCTCTGTGTGTCTCTGTGTGTCTCCGTGTGTCTCTGTGTGTGTCTCTGTGTCTCTGTGTGTCTCTGTGTCTCTGTGTGTTCTCTGTGTCTCTGTGTGTCTCTGTGTGTCTCTGTGTGTCTCTGTGTGTCTCTCTGTGTCTCTGTGTGTCTCTGTGTCTCTGTGTGTCTCCCTGTGTCTCTGTGTGTCTCTGTGTGTCTCTGTGTCTCTGTGTGTCTCTGTGTGTCTCTGTGTGTCTCTGTGTGTCTCTGTGTGTCTCTGTGTGTCTCTGTGTGTCTCTGTGTGTCTCTGTGTGTCTCTGTGTGTCTCTGTGTGTCTCTGTGTGTCTGTGTCTCTGTGTCTCTGTGTCTCTGTGTGTCTGTTTGTCTCTCTCTGTGTCTCTCTGTGTGTGTCTCTGTGTGTCTCTTTGTGTCTCTGTGTGTCTCTGTGTGTCTCTGTGTCTCTGTGTGTCTCTGTGTGTTCTCTGTCTCTGTGTCTCCGTGTGTCTCTGTGTGTCTCTGTGTGTCTCTGTGTGTCTCCTGTGTCTCTGTGTGTCTCTGTGTGTCTCTCTCTGTGTGTCTCTGTGTCTCTGTGTCTCTGTGTGTCTCTGTGTGTTCTCTGTGTCTCTGTGTGTCTCTGTGTCTCTGTGTCTCTGTGTGTCTCTGTGTGTCTCTGTGTCTCTGTGTGTCTCTGTGTGTCTCTGTGTCTGTCTCTGTGTGTCTCTGTGTGTCTCTGTGTGTCTCTGTGTGTGTCTCTGTGTGTCTCTGTGTGTCTCTGTGTGTCTCTGTGTCTCTGTGTGTCTCTGTGTGTCTCCCTGTGTCTCTGTGTGTCTCTGTGTGTCTCTGTGTGTCTCTGTGTGTCTCCCTGTGTCTCTCTGTGTGTCTCTGTGTGTCTCTGTGTGTCTCTGTGTGTCTCCCTGTGTCTCCGTGTGTCTCTGTGTGTCTCTGTGTGTCTCTGTGTGTCTCCTGTGTCTCTGTGTGTCTCTGTGTGTCTCTGTGTGTCTCCGTGTGTCAGGTGAACAGTGTTGGGGAGTAACAGATTACATGTACCAGAGTAATCAGAGTACAAATGATGAGTAACTGTATTCAGTTACAGTTACTGTTTCAGTGAGTGGGAATTGGATTACAGTTACTTTGCTGAAATAAATGGATTAAACAGAGGGATTTAACTGTTTTCACATTTTGGACTAAATCCTTTTTTTTTTTTTTTTCTCAGTGATTCCACTCATTGCCGGACACTAAACCAGGACTAAACCAGGACTAAACCAGGACTAAACCAGGACTAAAACCAGGACTAAACCAGGACTAAACCAGGACTAAACCAGGACTAAACCAGGACTAAACCAGGACTAAACCAGGACTAAACCAGGACTAAACCAGGACTAAACCAGGACTAAAACCAGGTCTAAACCAGGACTAAACCAGGACTAAACCAGGACTAAACCAGGACTAAACCAGGTCTAAACCAGGACTAAACCCAGGACTAAACTAGGACTAAACCAGGTCTAAACCAGGACTAAAACCAGGACTAAATCCTGCTGTGTGGACGTGTTTCTTCGTCTTTTATCAATAATATTTTTTAATTTGTTTAAATAAAGTTTGGGCTTTTTATTTTATTTTATCAGATAAAACTTCTTATGTGAAGATTTCCTCGTCTTTGTTTCTCTACAGCAAATCAAGTAATCCAAAGTAATCAGATTACATTACTCACTTGAAGTAATTTAATGGATTCTATTACAATTTACATTTTTGGGGATGTAATCTGTAATCTGTAGGGGATTACATTTTAAAAGTAACTTCCCAACCCTGCAGGTGGACGACCCGGGCATCAAGCGGGCGCTGATGGACGGGTTTCCTGGAGTCTTGGAGACGCCCGACCAACACGGACGAAAGATCCTCCTGCTGTTCGCCTCCAACTGGGACCAGAACAGGTCAGAAGTCAAGTCACTGGAGGTTTGAACAACTCAGCCTCAGGTCGGAGCAGAACTTTATTTAGTTTATTTGTTGTTTTGCAGCACTAAACCTCACGGGTCATGACCAGAAGAGTTCAGACTCAAGTCAAAAGTTCTGTTATGTTATTATAATCAATGAGTGTTTTGTTCAGACTGAAGACGTAGAGACTCAGAGCTCACTCATGTTGGTGTTAAACTGTTTCTGTCCAAACGGGTTTCAGCAGCTCCACACTGACCCCTGCTGACCAGACCTGGACACTGCTCTGACAGGTGCAGCTGCACGTCCAACGAGCAGTGTGACAGTGTGACAGTGTGACAGTGTGACAGTGTGACAGTGTGACAGTGTGACAGTGTGACAGTGTGACAGTGTGACAGTGTGACAGTGTGACAGTGTGACAGTGTGACAGTGTGACAGTGTGACAGTGTGACAGTGTGTGACAGTGTGACAGTGTGACAGTGTGACACAGTGTGACAGTGTGACAGTGTGACAGTGTGTGACAGTGTGACAGTGTGACAGTGTGTGACAGTGTGACACAGTGTGACAGTGTGACAGTGTGACAGTGTGACAGTGTGACAGTGTGACAGTGTGACAGTGTGACAGTGTGACAGTGTGACAGTGTGACAGTGTGACAGTGTGACACAGTGTGACAGTGTGACACTGTGACAGTGTGACAGTGTGACAGTGTGACAGTGTGACAGTGTGACAGTGTGACAGTGTGACAGTGTGTGTGACACAGTGTGACAGTGTGACAGTGTGACAGTGTGACAGTGTGACAGTGTGACAGTGTGACAGTGTGACAGTGTGACTGACAGTGTGACAGTGTGACAGTGTGACAGTGTGACAGTGTGACAGTGTGTGACAGTGTGACAGTGTGACAGTGTGACAGTGTGACAGTGTGACAGTGTGACAGTGTGCTGGGTACAAAAGAACAAACAGATCCACACTGCAGATCTTTAAAGTTCACACATTTGTATTTGAGTGACAGTGTGACGCTTCAGGTCAAACCTTCTTCACACGTGAAAGTTTCAGTTTTACATCTGTTTTATTCACAGGTCCAGACCCCTGACCCGTGACCCTCATGTGACCAGTCCAGTCAAAGAAACATTTAGATTATTCAGCAGAATCTTTAGAACAAAACAAGTGTCTTGGTTTAACAGCCGAGCGGCAAGTGAAGAAGAAGAACTACAACGTGAAACGAATAATGATAAAACTATAAATGACTTTTACTTACGTTTCCAACTTCTCCGTTCCTTTACTTTTCACGTTGTCGTTCTTCTTCTTCACTTCCCGCTTGATCGTCCGTCTGGAAACAGAGTCCCCGCAGTCACTTCTGTTGTGGCTTTTTGT